GAAAAAATGACAACTTTTGCGGCAATATTGGTATATAATGTTATTATCATCTCATTTCCCTAAATTCCAACCATTTTCCTGCAAACCAGCTATCCTTCTCTCATAAGGAACTGCTTAAGGAAAGGATAATAACAGTGCCATAAATGGGTGTCGGAAAATATAATTCACGTCACTGTAATGTGGAATGTAAAATTGATCTTCACCTATTTTAAAAAGTTTCCAAATGGGGTAGGGAAGCCGATTCAAATCATAGAATTATGCTTGAAGATGTAATCTAGCATAAGTAATTGACGCTGAAATCTTACCATGGCCAATGTAACAAGAAGAAACAATTCTAGTAAGTAACAACCACACATCACAATTTCCATACAACTACATGATAGTGAAACCGACCGGCTAATAGATGTCTTTATAGGTTCATCACTGAAACAAAACACTGAAAAAGGACTATTACTTAACCGATTTCTTACTTTAGCATTATCAAGCCTGTGGGGCAGATGAAAGGTTGACTTGTCAACAAAGAATCCAGAGCTGAATCTGTTCAAACCAATTTGCTTTCTTTTAAAAGAGTGGAAGCAAGATACTTTCTGGCACTTATCTGGCAACCGTGATTGAACTATCGATTCATTGAACTCAGACGAAAATCTTCTCCATGTATTCTGCAACAAGAAACATATGCAACTCAGCAAAATAAAATAGAATGAACTAATCTAAAAGTATGATACAAACTAGATAAACACAAAATTCAGACAGTAGAAGATGAACTTTACATATTCAATATTTAATTCATCATAGCACCAGCAACTACGAAGCCTAAAATTGTCTTTAGTACTCTGGACAGATATAATTCACCCTTTCTTTTCACCTCATCCACACGATACAAACCCTTCAATTACTTCGAGAAGGTGGAATGTCAAACTGTTGCAGCTTTACAATTCGTTTCAATTTGACGAGGACAGACTATAAGTGTCTAAAGTATAGTTAAGCATTTCAATCCATTTTTTTTGTTGCAGAGAAGTCTTGCATCAGTTTTCGCTTACACGAACATGCATCCAAAATGAACTCCAGCGTAAAACGAGTCAACTCTGAAGTCTGAAACAACTTTTTCTAACTCGAACCTAGAATATCTATTTGTCAAAGTAATCATATACTACACAGAAACACTATACGAAAGCAGATTTTTAACATGTATTGGTTGCTATTGCACCAGAAACCTATGAATTATGAAATCAATAACCTTCTGTACAACACAGTTAGCTCAACAACCCAATTACTCTAAAAAATCATAACCACAGAGATTAATTAAAGCTCACAGTTCCTCATAATACATAAAATTAACACCTCAACCACAAATTTCTTATTTAAAATAAAATAAATTAAATACCATTCAAGCATGAGCCCATACCTTACAAGTAACGAGAGACTCGCCGCCGCGCCGACCCCTCTGCGGCGGCCGCAGAGTAATGGGCTTCCTCGATTGTAGCCGGCTGAACTTGGCAGTAACTAAACTACAATAAAACTTATCTTTATTGTGATAATTGCAATTGTCGGCATGAATCGAGGCTAGTAGAAGTGGTTTGGTGTTCAATACAGCGGACGAGCTCTGCATATTCGAGATTAATTGGCGCTAATCAGAGATTTTCGGAGTATAATAATGGAATTATTGTGAAGAATAAAAGTGTGAGAGAGAAGAAGAAGAAGAAAGGGGGAAAAATGTCGAAAAGTGAAAAATCTTGGGGGTGAGGGGCTTATATGTAAATAACTAATTTGAACGGTTAAAACTTAAAAGTAGTAAAGGAGTGTCTTGTGGTTGTGGCTTGGGCGGAGCAGGGCGGTGTAAGTGGTGGCTGTTTGGCCAGCTTGGCTTTAGATTTTTTTTTTTTTTTTGGGAACAATCACTATTTTCAATTCTTATAATTTACGGGTTTTTGTGAGGAGGTCATTACTCTAGGTTTATGTATTATATCCCATGTATTCCGTATCTGAAATGTTAAATTTCGTTTCAATTTTACTAATGTTGTTTTGACTTCGAACATGATTTTGATATATTTTCTATTTTGATTTTGGCGAAAATTCGAAACACGAAAATTGTAGTCCTTTAGGTTAGTTTTCTAATTCAACTTAAATCCGCTAGATTAGATGCCGTGTGACAAAGTTATGCATGAATGAGTCACATTTTGAATTTTAGATACATCAAAGTTGTGGGCAGTATCCATTGATTCATGTATATCTTTCTCGTCCAACATCCAATTTTGGTGATTCAAGTTGGATTAGAAAACTAACTCAGAATACTACAAATCCTATTTTTCCGGTTTTGCAAAATTTAGAATAAAAAATGATCAAAATCACGTTTGAAGTCGAAACGGTATTATTAAAGCTCGAACGACATTTATCATATCCCCGTATTTGAAATGGAAACACCGATACGGGGAAATGGAAAAAAGGCGTGTTTCAAAAAGGGAATGCTGGAACTTGGGGAACACATATAAATGTTAAAAGTTTTTATGTATGGCGGCGGTTATATGCAAGCCCATTTTTTTATTAGTTCATGACCTCCAACATAAAAATATGAATTTACCCTTAATGGAATTTAAAATCAAATAAAAAACACAAAGCATTAAAAAATAAAAAATAAATATTTCCTTTGTGCAAGACCAAATAAAATACATAAATCCAGAAACCCTCTTCCTTATTTCACGACTTAAAACTCTCCTCCTTCTTCCCCTTCTTCTTCACAAACCCACCTAGAAATCCTACACACCAAAATTATCAAATACATACCAAACATTCACGATTGAACCAGAAAACAATGATATGGTGGTTTATGACGGTGGAGAACACAATGAAATATGTTTTAACCGTTTATTTTTGCTTTTTGGTCGTTTTTTTTTTGTTGCGAAAACAATTCGACGATACCAAAAATCGGTCTGCAAATACCGATTTTTGTTACTAAAGTCGGTAACCACATTCCGATTATTTTAATAAAAATCGGTACTTAAAAACCGATTTTTGTAGTAACAATCGGCATGACAACACCGATTTTTTTTTTGTATTATCGGTATTGTCATGCCGACTTGTACTACAAAATTCGGTTTTTAAATACCGATTTTATTATCTATGTTTTTTTAAGACCGTTTTCTCATACTTTCGTGCATCAACCTAGGGGTTGATGGAGGATTATTCAAATGAATTTTCTAACGAATAAATATTTGGGATACGGAAAGCTCTACTCGATTGGGTTAAAGGAGTGGTAGACGCCACCGAATGGTGATAAACATTTTCGTTTCAAATATTTAAAAAATATCAATTAACCAAATATATAATGTATTATTTAAAAAAAATTCAAAAAATATCGGTATTCGAAAACCGATTTTGTAGTCAATAATCGACATTAGAACGCCAATTTTGACTTGTAAAGTCGATGTTGTGTCGCCGATTTGGTTAACAAAAATCGGTATTATGACGCCGATTTTCGTGTACAAAATCGGTCTGGATAAACCGATTTGGGAAACCAACGAAAAAAAATAAAAAAACCAATCTCAATCTTAATTTTTTTTCCAAAATCGGCCAAATCATTGCAACCCAACAAGAAATAAGCATAGATTAATGTTCATTCATACATATTTAGCATAGATTAATATTTTGCAGTCGTGATATTTCTTTTTTTTTTTTTTTTTATTTTTGGTCTTGAACAAATTAAAAATAAGATTTATTTGTATTTGAGTATTCTTTGTGGATAAGGGTATATTTGTCATCTTTGGTCTTGATGTAATAAAATTAGATTAATTTACGGGCTTGAACTAATAAACTCCTTTATGTGGTCTTGAACTAATAAAAAAATGAGCTTGCATATAACGGCCGCCTTTATGTATATATAAATTCTTTTTATATTTTTTTACACAAACATATTCAAATTAAATTTTACTATCAACTATTATTTTGCAGTTGATCATTAATTTAAATCATGTAAATAATTTGAGAAACAATAAAAATATTTGAAAATTTACTATTTAAACATGTTTCTAGCTTTTTAGAAATTGCAAAATGGCCAATAAGGTGTTCGGCAGACAGCAGGCATCATCAAGTTTCCGACATTAAACGTTTCTAAAACACAGAAACATTGAGAAGTTGAAGTTTTCGTGCTGCATAAGTTATCTCTTTAGTCAATAAATTCATCTAATATGTATTATAGATAAATTCAAGTTTAATCAATCTGACAAAATTATTCACGACCCTTTAAAACTCATTCATAATGGTTACCCCAATTGAACTTCAATTCATCAATTTTGACTAAAAAAA